AATAGTGATATGATTTCTCATTAATTTTTGGTTTCATTTCTAGTGAAATGCTGGAATGTGCGACTGCAGGTAAGAAAGAAAACTAAACTGATTGGCTATTTTTATGCCTTTGTGATTGACCGGAATCGAAAACTTAAATCGGTTTGGAATGATTATTCTGATGAGAAAACTTCTGTTTCCATGCCTTAGTGTAATTTTAATGTAATATTAAAACTTCGCTATGTTTAAAATGTCTTTAGCTCTTCATATCATAGATGTAAAGGGTTAAAAATGCAAAGTTTATAACGCCCCATGCGAAGTCATATAGATCATCATGCTAGATCGCAAGTTGGAGGCAGTTGAAGAGAGAAGTTTAGGCAGAACCTCTTCTCCATAATCTGTACGGTTTCACAGCAATTGAGTTCATCGAATTCATTAGCCTGAAAGAATTTTGAGTGACTTGCATTAGGCAGGACTCGCCACCTTCCTGAGGCAAACGAACTCTTGCTTTTCATTCCACTTGGCAAGATTCTCTATGAACACATATTTGTATTTATTTTACTCAGATTTAATGAATTTGCCTGGTTGAGAATCGTAGGTGAACTCATTAGCATTTCAGTGACATCAGCAACTGCAGGGTTTGGAACTTCAAAAGACGAGGAAGGCACAGATTGCATGGGTGTAACAGTAGCATTACCATGTTCATAACCTTTAGATTTAACCAAAAGGGCTTTCACCGCTTCGGAGAAATTTTTGATAATTGCATTGATAGTTAAAACCCACAAAACTTGTTATAACCTCACAAGTCTTCCAAGTTGCCACGGAGTAGTGACGATGAGATTGGTGCGGCCAACCAGTCTCCCAATCTTGCCATTTCAAGTGCAAGCTTTCTCTGATATTAAATAAGTCAGTAATTTTTCAAGCCATGTGGTCGTAAAAAACATGGAAAATAGTTTATAAACTCAGAGATACCATATGAACGAAAGGAGATTAACTATAACGTTGGCACTTGCGAAATAATATCTCTCTCACAATAATTTCAAATCCCCTCACACAATAAATGTAACCACAATCAGAACTTCAAACTAGCACTATTTAAGACCAAATTAAACAGCTAGCTTGCCCAAGAAAGATCGATGATTCGCTTCACTGGGCTGTTCAATTGGAACCAGTTTCATTATATGTACCTACAACAGGTTGGTAAATAGCCAATCAACTTTTTGGAATAAGAGCTTTAATAATTGGTAATGTATTGCAGACACAGCAACTCTTGGAATGACTATGAATCTCGTTGATCGATCATCCAATTAATTAACGGGGAAGTGAATCAATATATTTGCAAACATCGATACGAGCAATAATGATCCCCACGCCTGATGGGAAAACGCTAATTTACACTTTGGTTAGAGGCCAGCACCAGAGAGCCCGTTCGTTGAAAAACTCTAATTGGGTCACCCACTTTGCTAGCCAGTCTTAACCAGCGCGGTTACCTATTCCACCCACTTAGGTGTCTGCTAAAAGAACCGAACCCGTAATATCGGACGATAAGATTCGGTATAAATTGGATTAAGAGTCAAACCCAAATTAGATGAGATTAAAGGTAAGGAGTGTATATGTATTGATAATTGAAGGAGATAGGGAGAGGGACATGTAAGTAAGCGTGTAGTCACATAAGATTTGCAACCTTTATCTCGAACCTTGATATTACACATCTGTAAAATGGAGTGTGTGATAAAGAAATAAAAAAAACATGAAAAACAGAGCGTCGGGAGAAATATTGAACGCGAGTGATGAAAAGGGAATGAGATTAGATTACACAGAGTCAAACACAAAAGTACACTGCTTATTACATATAAATATATATGTATGTATAAATGAAATTAAATAAGAATGTTTAGCGATGACTACCCAGGTTCAATCAAATAGTACACATATATGTATATTAAAGAGAGCTCTGTTTCTGCATGTGTGTTGTGCGCGCGCGTTGGTGCGTGCGTGGGTGCTCTGAAGTAGAAAACGAAGAGCTGGGTTCGCACAGCGGGCAGCAAAAGAAAATATCGAGTGTGGTGGGAAAGTGAATGAGAAATCGCAAATATCTGAAGGAAGCTGATCCATTATTCCAACGGCAAGCGACCCAGAGGCTGAAGTTTACCTCGTTTCTTTAGGAGGACAAACATTCTAAAACAAAAAAGGAAAAGAGAATGAGAAATGTTAGGGGTTAAATACCAATACCAACCCGAGATGTTAGCGTTTATCAAGTAACATTTATGGGGTTGAGTGCTACCAGATGATAAAAATGGGAGAAAACTGCCAATCCAATTAGGAATGTTTTGTGAAATGCGAGATGGTGAAAATACAAGTGAATGCAGGCCTTTTTTCATTCACAGGCATCAAGTGAGAATTTACAACAGCTAACCATCAAATACCTCAAGTCAATGTGCAGACTACAAACAAAAGTCGGTCGTTCACTCATTAAATTTGACATTTAAGACCGCTTCTTCCTGTCCAGTTCATATCTTGATATGAACATTAATTAATCTTTCGTTCTGATCAAATCAATGCAATAACAACAATTTTTCCACCTTCTAAGCGCAAGAAGGACGATCTCATGTGCAGTGAATGAAGACATCGATTCATTATGGACTTAATCTGACTTTATCCTAAGCTTGATCATTTTAAGGTAGCCGCAAAACTTGAACCTACAATAATGATGACTCACTCACTACACACGAAATTCCACTATATCATCGGGCCATGATAATTTTTGCACACCCATTGTAACTAGTTACTCTCCTAAGTTGGCCAGTTTAAGAGCACATTCACCTTATTGGTCAAGATGGGTTCATTCCATTCCTCGCATATAGAACTGCTTGAGGTGCGTGAATGGCAGTACAACTGTTGCCTGCTATACCAAAATTCAAACTATTTCTGCAACTACTAATTCTTTGGTGTATTTAATACGATTCGTGGGATAAGTTTGAGTTCTACACTGTTGACAAGTGAAGGAACATTAAGTGAACTCCAAAGTAGGAGAGAATAAGGATTTCCAACTATTAAGACTTCGGAGGTACGTAAACAAGAAAGCAATTGGCACATTTGCAAAACCAATGAAGTCAAGCACAAACGCTGCGAATAATCAAAATAACTTTCTCAATCAAATAGATCTCATCATATCTACTCTTGCCCAGAATGAAAATTTGATGACTTTATTTGAAATACTGTGTGGGTGGAAAGCAAATAGGGATGGCATTTGGAACTCTGCCATCAGTAATGGAGTACCACGGTTTCGGAAAGACATACAGCCAGGCAGCAACAATCTTTTCACCTCCAGGGTCACAAAAAGTGCGACTGACACCCCATAATTAATGGAACAAAAATAAAAAGTGGAACTGAAGAAGCGCATAGGCCAACAAAAAGAGAAGCCTGGAGTTCAAAGCCAGTCACTGCACTAATATTGATTAATACAGTGATGGGGAAATGAAAGCTTCCCACCTGATTGACAAAGCTATCCACTTAACAGATCTGCACTTTGACCGCTATACCATTGGAAGAGTAGCGGAATTTACAAAGGTTCTTGTGGCCCACATCTATCCAAATTCACTCACATACTCTACATATATGAAAACTATAAAAAGATATTTTGAGAACTCACAGTTTCAGGTTCAATGTACTTAAAGATAAAAAACATTAAGCGCGTAGCAAATCAACTGAATATATATGCGGAAACAGCTCTTCAGAAACTTTTTAAATGTCCACTGATCTACCAAGGAGATTTATATCAAAAAGTTACTAAATATCTCAATTTAGCACTAAGATAGCTTGATTAAGAACAATAATTAACGCCAGAATACCTGAGAGAAAATGTCAATAACGCTTGACAAAAAAGAAATATCAGAATATACCTTTTACCATGAAATAAGACCCATTAACAATGACAAAGTGGCACTGGCGTAGGCTCATGTAGGAACTACACAACGGAAACTAATTTTCCCCAAAGTGCTAAATAAAAAAGCAAAACATCCCAAAATTGTCAATCGTTTAAAAGAAATTCCAAAAAATCAACCGCTCGAGACCGCGCGACCAAATAATGAGGGAACTAATACTGATAAAGATTTGTTGAATGGTCGATCATCGTCCATAAAAACTTGCATGAAACTCTTATGGAAATAAAAAAATAAAAACCTATTTCCCAAGTTAGCCACTCTTCAAAACTTCTACACCTTCCAGGGACTTGTGGATCTACTGATTAAAACTAATCGACAGAGGAATAGCTGAAAGTAAATATTTCAACAGTAACCAAGACGCTTTCCAAATGACTGATATATATTAGATGGAAAAAGCTTTTTTCAATGAGGCTTAGAATTGGTTCTAAAGCTCCAACTAATCCTACGGAATTGATAATAAGGTGAAAAGGTTTAATTGTAAAGCAGATTTTAAAGGTACTTACTTTTAATTGGAGTGAACGCCATTTAGGGAAATAGAGAGAATGCCCGCTTTGATGAGAGTACAGCTAATTTCAAACTATTTTTAAATAAAAACTAGTTTTTTATTATTTTACATTAAGAGGCCCTATTGTGACTAAACGACCAGGTCAATCTATCTACTAAAAATGACAATTTTCCAAGTTGAAATGGTTTAAGCCTTACCATATTGGTTTATCTCATGGTACCCAGAAAAATTAGTTTATCAGGTTAATGAAAGAGTTAATAAACCGGTTCAAGGATAAACGAAAGGAAAAAGGAAGGGAAAACCAACAAAGCATAAATTATCACAAAAACCAACTATAAAAAACGAAAGAATGCCTTAATTTACACTGCGGTTGTTTCAAAAATCAACTTAATTCAAATAAGATAGCATAAAATCGTGAATAACACCTCAATAGGCACTATAAATAATTCGAAAATTTCGCAGCTGGTTTTCTGAAACAAACAACAATGTAAACAATCCAAGCGAAAAGCAATAGAGAAACAGTTAACAACCATCATAAGAGTCATAAATGATGATAAATGGTGAAACGAATCTTACGCAGTGGCACCCAAAAGAAAGGAGGCAAAATGACGAAAGAGAGAGGGAAAGTTCCGAAGAAGCCAGCCGACGAAATGCCATTGGAAAAACGACGAGTGTCGCAGACGCCATGGCCTGTTGGTTGCGGTATCATTTAGCGAACATTGAACTACACCAATATAAGATCCTTCAAGAGAATTAGGGGGAGTTGCATCAGCAGATGATGCAGGTCCAAAAGAATTTGCTCCAGTTGATTGCAATAATGAACATGGTCTAGGAAAGGGAGGAGAATAATGAACAAACCGATGCTATGAGGCTTAAATTAAAATAGAAACAAAATAGTAACGTACCCTGACATATTTGGACGACTTGGCCACTCGCCAAACTGACCGGCACATAATTCTTGAGTGAAATCAGGACTTCTGACAATTTCAGGAAGAACTCCAGGAGTAGCAGATTTCAAGTGTTCTTCAAGAGCGGAACAAAGCATTGAAAGATCTGTGGAATGCATCACTACTCCTGGATTTTGACTACGTGGTGAATCACACCCAGTGCCCATAAAATGAGCAGATAATTCAACCCACTCAGAGCTATCGTCTAAAGAAATAATATATTAAAGTTAGGGACAAACAATGATATAAACATTATTAGAATCGCGTTTATAGAATAAAAACATATATGAATGAATATGTAATGATTCTACCAATACATACCCGGAAAATCGTCAGAACCAAACATCTGGAAAAAATGCCTTTGGAATTGCCGGCAATCAGCTTTCACTTTGCACCATTTATGATTTTAAGGATTTTAACAAATATTTTTTGAAGTTAAATATCAGTAAGATTTCCTAACTTTATGTACTAATCATGTATTATTTTTATTTTTTGTCCTAAATGATTTGAAAAAATTGAATATTTTAATTTTGGATGACGAAAATCTGACGGTCAAATGTCTTATATTATATGACTGCTTGTCATATTCGACCCATTTCACAGTACTCATCTTACCTTTTTCTCTACCTTCGTGTCTGTCTGCCTCTTTTACATCTGTGAATCGCTCTTCTGTTTCCCACCCCTCGACATTCTTCTAATTTGATGAACCTTACCTCTGTGAAGCCCGAAGTAAGCTAATTGGCTAATGATAGCTATCGAAACGCCTGTGATTTGAAATGAATAATAAATATCATAATAATTGTGGTGTGCGATAGACTAGCAGTTGATTTCTGACTTCAAACTATCATCATCCCAATGTATGTCATATTCTACCACTTTCACAGTACTCACCCTACCCTTTTCTCTACCTTTGTGCCTGTCTATCTCTTTTGC